GATGAAAAGGATTACTTTGCAGCAGCTGGAGACTGGATCTCTTGCAAAGATGTATTTGCTAATGACCAAAATTTCCCTGTGATTCATTAAGTTACACATACACAGGTAATGCAGATGAACAAATCTTGGTTGTAATTGCAGAGAACTGCCTGAGCTGGCAAAAGATTGCAGCCAAATTATTTTAACTGACATGCATTTATTTGATCATGTCGGATACTTAGAAGCCAAATTCTGTTCTTTTAAAGGATTTTGTTAAGAAACTATATAACAAAGGTTACCTTTGTTAGCAAGGATGTGGGAATTACGTTTTGTCATAATGACAGTGCATTTAGCTTTTGAGTATAACAGAAGTTATGCATTATTGCCAGAGGTTAGAAACAGAGAGGCCAAAGAGTCAGAAATACGTCTCATTTTCACATGTACTTTCTGGAAAAAAACAGATCTAGACAAAGAATGTCAAGCAAGAGTGAAGTGATCTTCAATCTCCAGTGCTTAATCCTCTGTCCTTTGGGCCACTCTACTTCTAATAAAAGCATCATCACAGCGGTTTGCTGCTGGCCATTTTACTTACTTTGGCTTCACCTTCAATTTGTTAACTGTCCTGGGCAGGTAAGTCCTCAGAGTACCACAATAACCATTAATTACATTCTTCTTCAAATGAAGTACATCTATCACAAACATCAGGCAGTGAAATGTTTTTAACTTAAAACAAAGACTTCAACAATTAGTGTTGGTATCTCTTTCCACAAACAATATTCAGAAGGATCCGAGTACTATTTGCAATAGATCAAAGCACAAACATCTGTTCCACTGAGGGAATAATTTCCCTTGTTAATACAAATCAACTAGTTTAAATATAGGGTGTAGATGCAAGAAAGAGAAGAAGTTGTTCTTTTGATTAGCTTTTCAGAAATATAACAGAGGGAGAGACACAATTAAGAAGTGATATATTTGTAAGGGAAAAGCCAGGAACACTGCAGGATAAGCGATTTCACTCAAAGCATACACCAGTTTCTCAAGCAAATGAGCTGCATACAACTCATGACTTTTCAGTCTCTGTCGTGTCCCTCTCCTCACGCTGTTCTCACACATGCCCAAGTCAACTCTTACCACTTACGTTTTTTTTTCAAGAAGTATTTAGTCACTTTGGCCAGAACTACTAGAGCACATAGTCACTAATGTAATAGGAAGCAGGAATCTAAACAGATGTCAAACATCTTAAAATCTAGAACTTTAGTGCCTCTGACATCTACCATATTATCAATGTATACTGTATCACCATTGTGTCTGTGATAACTGTGGAAATTTACTGGGGCCCAGCTTTAAATTCTGCCTTCCTGCCTTCCAAAGCTGAGGTGGACTAAACCACAGAGTATCACTGCCTCAAGAAGAGAATTCAACATGAAGTGAGCTGCTGCCCTTGGGCCAGTCTCTCAACATTTTCACTGCAATTATGAAACAGGGTAACCCAGTCAGGATTGCAAAGTAGCAGAAAATACAGCTGTGCATAAGAAGAGTAAATCTTCTGCACACTAACCTATTCACGTTTATGTCTAAGGCTATTTAAACAACGAGCGGGATGTTTCGTGCAGAGCTGTACTGATACAGTAAGTATACCAGAAACAATGCGAGATTCTGTGGCAAGCAGTGAGATCTAGAGCGTTTGGTAATTCAGCTGGGCAGGTAGGAGAGGCCAATAATGGATCAGAAGGAATCATTCAGTAAGAACAGGAAGGAGAAATGGAGAGCAATAGAACAGGAGGTCTAATCTGCAGTCAGAAAAGAAGCAAGAAATTTAGAAAAGACAGCTAGGTCACGCAAGGTAGAGACAGCACACAGGTAGTTTTAGGAATGTATTTTTAAAATGAGAAATGAGGAGTGAAATAAATGTGATGGCATATTCAAAGACAAAGATGATTAGTTTAATAAATTGCTTAAAAGTGAAACATTGCATAAGAGGCAGAACAGATCCATGACCGATACGATCAAGGTTCCTCTTTTGGCTCGACTGTAAAGTCACAATGTGACCTTTAGCAAGTCACTTCAGCCTAGATCCAATAAAGGACTCAGGCACCTTAAGCCTGACTTAGGCAGATTTGAGGTACCTAAGTCTAAAAGTATGACCTAAACACCCTGCTCAGCTGCGTACTAACCCCGGAGTCGCTTGTCACTCCAGAAAGGCATGTGTATCTGCTGTTCAGTTCTCTCTGCACAAATGCCACTCAGTCGGCAAAGGTGTGCCGTGTTAACTTTCAGTGGCCTACCAGTGCTCTTTTCCGGGCTGCACATTTAAGTTGCCTTTTTGTGGAAATATGGGCACAAAGGACAACTAATGCAGGCTGGGATTTCACGTCAGCGTGTACCCAGAATCCAGCTGTGCTCCTTTTCTCTCATTTTCTTGGTGGCTTAGTGCCACAGGTTCAATGGGAAGGGCAGAAAAATGGCTCAGCTTAGCTTGAGCAGTAGCCTGGAAACGGCAAATACGTATCTGTGCTTCGTGTGTCCCTTCCCCCTGCCCTTGACCGAAAGAGTCAGTGAGAACAGGAGCCGTGGTCTCCTGTTCGCCTTAGAGAATACAGCCAACCCTTGCATCCACGTGGGACCTACACCCACAAGTGGTCTCCAGGCTCTGGATCCAAGGAAAATGGTTCTTGCAGCCCTGTCTTGGTTACCTAAGCTGAGGAGACAGCAAGGAGCTCAGAAATATCATCGTGACGATCATGCTCAGCACTGAGCTGTTGTTAACTGTTACAGGCTCATCAGGTGAACTTCCTTCCCTTCAGAAATGCTCTACATGGTGCACACAGGTTCTGTAATGGAAACAGTGTACAGATATAGCAGGTTTTAACCTGTAGGAGTAATTACCTGCTTCCATGAAGAAATGACACTTAATTATGTGGAAAATATATTGCGGTTTTTGGATGAAAGAAACTACTGAAAGTATTAAAAGAAAGAAAACTTTAAAAAGCAATTTTCTGCATAATTTGAAAACTTGCTCACATTCAAAATCTGGGTAAGAAGCAATTGTCATTAAAGACATTGGATTGATGAAATGGCGCGGTTTGACTAAAAGTGGAATAACTCCTAAAAATATTACAAAATATTAATATTCCATAGATTCTTTGATAATGGATTGGCTAGACAGAGACATATCCTAAAACCCAACTGAATCAATTTCCTGTTTCAGCTTTGCAACCTGTGTATTTTGACATTGCCACTTTATGTTCACGAATTAGGTTCTTGTACGTTTTTTGTAATAAACTAGTTTCCTAAAGGCTGATATGCACACATAATATTATTTCAATATGTAATTGCTCATGTAAATAAGCAGGTAAGAAAGTAGTTTTTGTTTAACTCATGCAGAATTGCTAACTTTGAGAAAACTTCCTGTCATTTCATAGCTCTCTCAATTCTTTTTCCCTTTCGGTTTCAGTGATAATTTCTTGAAAGTGAAATGTAAGTACAAAAGCAGAAGTGTTAGGTCTGTAAGTAGGAGCGTGAAAACGGGAGGTGCTACACGATGAATATAAATTATTAGTAGTAGCCAAGATGAGGAAAATGGGGTTTTAGACCAACATCACTTTAGAGTTTGAATAGCAACATTAGCTCAACCACACTGCACTTACTGTGCATTAAATTATACATTTTGCAATCTAACCAGTAATAAAAAATGCTGAACATATATAATGCATCTAAATTAAAGGTGACCTGTAAAGAATTAGCCAGATGTCCTTTCTCTTACTATTTATGTGATGATCTCAAGCAGTGTAATCTCTGTTTTTTCTGCATATGTTAGTTGTATTAGAATTTCAGGTAGTCTTTGGGTTAGCAGATTTTACGGTGCCCAGAGAACTACTGAATTGTGACAACACAAAAATCAAAGGAGCAAAAATTGCCTAGCTTTGGCTACGAGCTAGGTGATGAAGGACAGCTTACGTGACTGCTGCTAAAGAAGGATTTTCATGAGTATAAAATACTTTTGGTTAAACTAACTTTTTAAGTAAAATACTGAATTTTATGAAATTATGAAGTTCCAATTGATTTTGGAGAAAGTATTGAGCTTTAAGTCTTAGGTTTATATTAAGTTGTACTGAGTAATGCACAAATTATCTGAGACTACCTACAAGATTCTTGCAAACTTGAGTCCTTTGGTACGAATGGCATGAAAGCACAACAGTTGAGGAACACAAAGGCCTTTAAAGGTGTTCTTTCGGGCATCTTAAAAAAAAAAAATGGCACAAAGATACGCTCCTTCTTGTCATTGTGCGCAGTTGTGCCGACTTCTGCTTATCCCTTCACCTACGACAAGTCATTTCTAGTGCCTGCAGGCTTACTAGGGCTGTCACGTTCGGGCTTCAGTCACTGAAAACGAGATTTCTTTGACCGTTTCTGCTGAACTTTATGAAGGTTTCCATCCGTTCCGCGTCCAGACACGACGCTGCCCCTCACCGCCGCCCCGTGTCTCAGGGGCCGGGACGGGCAGGGCGGCGCGAAGAAGAATTTTTTTTTTTTTTTTTTTTTGCCTTTTCATACAATTCAGACCTGCCGCGCGGTACCGGTTAACGGTTCTTTAAACGTCCCTGCGGTCTAACAGGAGGCACGTCGGGCTCCGGCGGGCCCCCGCAGCGGAACGAACGTCCCCTCACTCCGGCCACCGACCGGAGAACGCCTCTCGCCCCCTCAGCGGGCTCTCCGCCTCCTCACCTTCCCCTCAGCGCGGGGTTCCCGCCTCGCTTCTCCTACACCGCGACCCGCACCGGTAGGACCACCGGGGGAGCGAGCGAAGGGAGGAAGGAGGTTTCTAAAGGCTTCTTCCTCCTCTCGGCAGGTTTATATGCTCGCCCTCCCGGGAGGGCAGCCCCCGTTAAGCGCCCTTAACGGCGCCGGTACA